TAATAATTTTAAATGTCAACTAAACATCCTTAACACTCTTAAAATGTATTTAAATAGGATTTGGAAGATGACAAACTTAAAATCGGTTGATGGGTCTCAATTTACTGTAAATTGGAATAAATACAAACCTGTTCTGTTTTAAGCGTTAATATAAACACAAACGCTCTGAATCATAACAAATAGTTGAATTTTATTAAATATTGGTTTAGCTAAGCAACTAGAAGTTTGAATAATATTGATTTTAATTTGCATTTAGATTTGATTATTCATTATGTTCTTAGTTGTATTTTGATCTGATTACAATGTTATGACTGTTATTGTCAACAGCTTCAATATCGTGAATTTTGTTGAAATAGAAATTATAAATAGTATATATTATTGGTAGTAATATACGCTCTACTAAATAAATGAAAGTTACGTGAAAAACACAGTCAATAATATTTCCTCCTTAACTTGTAATTAATATACTATCTATCTTCCCATAAACAAACCCTAATTTGTCACACAGAATACAGTATAAGTTACTTCTCTTTGTATAAATATACAATCTAAAAGAACACTAGCACATTTTACAAGCCAATTTCCATTCATAAGACAAAATACTGTGAAAACCATAGCTGTTTGGTAAATATATTCTATATCACAGCAAAACATTACTTAATCAGATATTGTTGCAAACTAATATGCAACTATTTGTAAATAACTTGTTGCAAGTCAATTCGGTGTCTTTGAAGGTTTTACAAGATATTTTCAATACTTAAAATAGCAGATACTTCTTATTAAGTTCATTTATATCTTAACACGCCTGTAAATTAGTTACCGGTGTTTATGAAATTAATTTTATTTGTTAAATTTTCAGTATTGACTTTTATTATTAGGCCATTCAAACGTTGACATTTCCGTATGTTTAGCCAGTTAGAACCCAAATTTTAAATTAACAGGTTCAAAAACTGTTTGAAAAAATATATTTTGGAAAAAATTGAAGATTTGATTGTTTTTCAGCTGTTTGAACATACCAAGCCCCGGCAGTTGGAGCAGCGTCCCAGTAGCAGCTGTAGAAGGCACTAGGATCAGCAGCAGCAGCGGCGATAGCAGCCTCAGCAAAAGTAGTAGAACCACTCGGTCACCCATCACCGCACGCAGACGAAAGACTGAGCACCACTCAAGCGAACACCCCCACTTGCAAACTACTACTAATGTTATAACCTTATCATGGACGACCTTCCGACTACCAGGCACTGGGTCGCTGTCGCTGGTACGAGGCGACTTGGAGCATCTGTTGATGCTAGTCAGTTGGTACAAGACAGATTGTATGTCCTTCTGATGTGATTCAAAGGGTTGATAAGATTTCCGGGTTTCGAAAATGTTGGTTTAATTCTTACCGAGTGTGCCAGTTATAAAATGTTTAGCAAAGAGTACATTCATAAAACATTGAAGGGACCAACGTTTATGGTGACAGTGAATGACTAATGCCTTAAAAGCTTATGTCTAAACTCTACCTAATGACTTTTTTATGTCTCTCTGTGTTTATGTTTTTTTTTTACCCATGACGACATAAAGCATTCATGAAAGAGGTTTAAGGTAGATTCGGAGTCCATCTTAAACTGTACTCTTACTTTCAACGAAATGTCTATGTAAAATAAATCCCTCCCTAAAAATATGATAGTTTTATTTGTTTTTAATTGTTTTATTTTCGGGTTAGTCTCCCAAAAAGATACAAATCAGTAATATGACAGGGCAAGGAATTTTGGAATATTCATAATATTTCTTAGTAAAATATTTTTTAAATTCAAAAGTAAATCGAATTTAGAATTGTATTACCTAAACTTCAATCTCTCTTAAACTCTAAAAATGTTTTAAGTACCATAATACATGATATTGCGATTTTGATAAACATAAATTGAAAATATATAGTCACAAATAAACTACTCTCTTTGCATTGCCAATATGAGAGTATACAGTATATGTAAGCAATATATGAGGCAATATGAGAGTTCCCCTGATATTTTTTACTTGGCGTTCAAGGCACATATTGCTATGGTTATAGAGGAGGTACTCCAGTTTCTTTAAAAAGTTCAGAATTGGATACTTTCAATTAAAAACTTTCAAGTAAATAGTCTCCTTCCTGTTTAAGAAATTATTTTTTCAACAGATTTCCCTAATCCTTCAGATTTTCCTCAAAAGGTGTTCAAAAGTCTAAAGAGATTTTATAAACAGTTTTTATGTCTATAGTGACTTAGAAATGTGATTTGCTGGATGCTATAATCCATGTATGAGGATAATGGTTTATTTTTTAACTTAACTAGTGTATAAACTTTGGGTGATGTAGGGTAGATTGTACTTTGTGTAGTGAGTTAAATTTTCAACGAAAAAGGTGTTTTAGTTTTTAAATATTATAAATTGTTATAGCTTTACTGTAAATCATAAGTATACTTCTCCTCTTTCAAATAATGTCTGGACTATACTCAGAAAATGCTGAGATAAGTCCTACACTTTTGATCACATGAAACAATGCAAAAGCAGGCTACGAGGAAAACACGCAGTTTTTCTAAAGTTGGGAGTTTAATAGTTTTACTTTAATTTAGTTAATTTTCTGTTTTGTAACAGATGAAGGTCAGAGGAAGACGTTTTATTGTCTAAAGACAATGGCACGAGTCCTTGGAGACAGAGACAATATGATACGGCGGCAGAACAGAACGCCTTATCTCATCTTCGTTGCGTGATTCAGGCTTTGAGTTGGAATGGAACGCGTGCAAAAATAATTAGGATTACAACTGCGAAGATATATATATATATACTATAAGTAATTACGATTGGGGAGATAATATAGGTCAAAAATCAGAATCCATTTGCGTGAATTTAACTTTTGAAATCATCTTAAATTTAATGTATCTTTCCTCAAATATCATTTCACCTAAACCCCAATCAACAGAGTTCTTAAAACAAAAATGATTTAGTTTTTTGAGAACATGAAATGGGGAACTTCAACTAGTTTTTAATTATAAAAAATATGAATTCCAATGTTTCAAAAATAGCCACCAGTTTCTAATATGGTGGCAAAATTTAAATTTTCTTATGGAACACCCTGTATTTTATGATTGTTTGAGATTTTAGATACAATTTTAATACTTTTTTACTCTTGGCATTTTCTCTCTAAACCTACTCGTTTAGAAGCTACAGCGTGTTTAACTTTGAAAAATTAGCTTGCAGTGTGGTTATAATCATTATGTGATTAGCTTTTTTCAAAGTTTAACACGATGTAGCTCCTAAATGAGTAGGGTTAGAGAGAAAATGCCAAGAGTAATAAGTCTTAAAATTGCATCTAGAAACTTAAACAATCTTAAAAAACAGGGTGTTTCATAAGAAATTTTAAAGTTAGTCACCATATTGGAAAATTGTGGCCATTTTTTAAACATTGGAATTCATATTTTTTATGTCATTAAAAACTAGTTGAAGTTCCCCATTTAATGTTCTCTCTCAATCTAATAGTTTCTGAGATACCAATGGTGGCACAGTTAAGTTGTTCACACTGCATATAGAAAAACAATGCTAAAGAAGCAGAGAAGAATAACTAATCAAATTGTTATACGCGTGAATCAAACTATATAGGGGCTATGTATTGGCTAACATACATACACACACATTATGATAGCAGTATGAAACTAAAAACAGTCGATATACATTTATTTAAAAATAATACAACGTTTGGCTTTGGAAAAAAATTAGACATTCCATTATTGAGATGTTATCAGTTTAGAATAAAAATGAAGGAAGTTGGATACAGCCAATGACAAAGAGCGCTGATATTTTACTTGAATACGCCAAATGTTTAACCAAAATAAAGCTGCAGTGACGGCTTATTGTAGACTATGGCATATTTTACCTCACATCAGCTACAACAGTCACAAAGACTGATGTAGAAAATATAATTTTTAAACTATGGCACTTCCTCTGAAAGGCTCATTTAACTATGCTATTTTGTGCAGAATTACCCACAGTTGATTTATAAAGATGAGATGTCTATTTCAGAATTTAAAAGTAAATGCTACATTAAACAAGTTAATCCAAATCATGCATAGTCCACCAAATGCGTATAAAGTTACAATTCATATCACCCATAATAGCTTCTCTGTAATACGTGATCAAGCAGTTTTCTCCAGGATAATATCCAATGGAGATGGAGCAACTATAAAGAAGCTAATTCACAATGAGGTCTGCTTTTATCAACATGAAAGGCTAGAAAGGCGTGCGTGAGAGGTTGGAGCTGGAGGGAGGCTGAGGAAAGTGTCACAGTTACATCACTGCAGATATAGATTCTGATGGACAACGGGTGGACGGTGGACAGAAGCATGGACATGCTCGCAACTTCCTGGGCGGAAGCATGGGTCTCGCGCGCGTGACAACTCACCCGTCTCAGAATACTTCAATTATCGCTGTTTGAAATCCGCTCATGTTGAAACCTTGAGTACACGTGTCAGCGCCTTCTGGGAGTTGTGTGATGCTGATTACCCTATTGTCCACACAACTGTGAAGGATCTAATCCGGACGAAAACTCGTTCAACTACTCTTTCAAAGGAGTTGAATCGATCTTTATAAAAATTTACAATCGTCTAAACAGTTACATAGTCTACAGTATCTTCGTATACAGAATTTCTCAAATAGTTATGCTACTACTAGGTGATTGAAAAGATACGTAATCAAATTGGTGGCTCCAAAAACAAAAATAGTTGACCTTAACATAGAACTTGAGAGTTGGTAGATCCGTATGCTGTTGCGAGTATAACACCACTTTATTGCGTGCAATCAAGTAAAAATGTGGTCTCCTTTGAAATGGCAAAATCGTGCATGGATAACAAAGCTCACTATAATCTGAATTTTTGCCATATTGAAGAGCAGACAACTTATTGATCGTCGTTTGAAAATTATAAATCACGTCTTTATATTAATTATACTCTATACTGTATATGCTTTTCAAGCAACGTAGAGGACGGAACAGTAATTCCCTGCTCATCAGTTAACGTAAGTAGTTTGTAAATTTAGTTAAAACTTCTTCTGATGACCGGCTAAGGTCAGGTCAGGTCTTAAAGTCAAAAATGTGTTCTCTATTATCAAGCAAACTATGAGGGTACTCTTCTGCCATACCGACCACCCCGGCTAGGCTTGGTTAAGCTAAACAAACATTTTTAATGAAATTAAATTTATTTTTTAACATACAGTTAACCTAACCTATCCTTAACCTCACCTGGTGTGATGGATATAACAGAAACCCTGGTGTAGTTGGTATCACAAACGAGTACCCTAAGTGGTTATACAAGATCGTGGGTTCATGATAAAGAAAAACCACCCGGTCTATTCAAATCTGAAGACTTCATAAATATGTTACTCTCTTGTTCGACCAGAACCAAGATATGCCATTTGTAGGCTACTTATTCACGTTACAAAACTGGTATGAAGACAAATTACAATATTTGTGCAAAAGAAGATTGTACGTGCCCGGAAGTTTGTAATGATACGAACCATGGTGCCCAAATTGAAACTCTCCTCTGATCCTTGAAATTAGGCGTCTTATCAATGATCTTGTATGCTCAAGCTATTTATATTGACTGGGCAAGGTTAATTTCCAAATTTCCTCCGAAGTAACGGGTATAGTTTAAGTCTCAGCTGACGACAATATGTCAAGGGGAACAATTCTACAGTTCTCTTGATAATTAATATGTGAATACTATTCTTCACACCTGTTTACATCCATAGTTATGCTTTCTAATAAAACCAAAACAAAGTGTATCAACCAAATAAAATAAAACCAGACGTAGAACATTATCACCACGTAAGTTAACTAAAAAAAAAAAAAAAAAAAAAAAAAAAAAACACATCCACCAATTTGAAATAATGTGTGCTTTTCTCATCCCCGTGTTAGGGTCCAGAATAATATTTGCGTGCGACAGTTGGAGTCGGAGATGGTATGTGAACATTGCGTCTGTTTACGACACGATTGCACTACGCCGGTGGCCGTGATAGGGAGTGAGCGTGTCAGTAGATAACAATGCCGCCGTTAGTTCTGCCAGCGTCAGACCCGCCACCGAGCCGCCCCAACCGCCAAGGTTCTGCTAAATGTCACCTCAAGTTATTCC